CCCCAAAACCCCAAAAACCCCAAAACCCCAAAACCCCAAAACCCCAGAATATGATCAGAGAACTGAAAGAAGAAATAATGATAAATTCAGTGGTTTTTGTGAAGAGTATTGATGGTGAATGGAATGAAACAGACATCTCTGGCGAAATAAAGCTATTGGTAAGAGCTTAATGAAGGAATTTAGTAAGATCTTATTATTTTTTGAATATATAGTTTTGATTTTGAAAATTTCTATTGGAATCAAATTCAAAAAACACTAAACAGATTCTGGACATCAATCAATTTACACTCTCATAACACCTTAATTCCCTCCCTAAACCCCAATACCCCTACATCCATCTCACAAAACCTTAAAATCATTAAATTATTCTTCATCAATTTTCGAAATCACAACATATTCAATCAGAGATTCTCCAAGTGGGATTTCTTCGTATTTTTCCTCAATGAGCTCTTCAGGACGGGTAATAGTGGCTGTTTTTAGAACTTCAGGGATGTAGTCATGCTTTACGAGTTTTATGATGTTCTTTTTGGGTGGGTGTCCGAGGTCGCTCCAGCCACTCTGGTCGATTTGGGATACAGAGTTTCTGAGTTTGTTCATAGTTTTTAGGGTTAAAGGTTTGAAGTCTGATAAGATTAGGCTTTTGCCATTCTCTTCGATTATTTTTGACTCTTCTAAGTAAACTTTAACTGATTGTTCATCGTAAATATTGTTTTCAGGTGAAATCACTGGAGATTTTATTTGAGAACCTGAAAGTGGGCATTTTAAAATATCATCTGAATTTTCATGTTTAGGAGCTCAATCTATCATAAGCTCTTCTTTATGCTCTTCTTTATGCTCTTCTGTATGTCCATCTGATTGCTTGGTAGTCTGTTTAGTTTTCTGAAGCATCCAAAAAGACAAATTGACAAATCATCTTTTAGCTAGATCAATTCCAAGATGTTCAAAATTAAGAGGTTTTCCGGTCATTTCAGAAACGATAATTTCTGTAAGAGCAGTCATCAATGGTGATGAAATTTCTCTTGCAATTCCGATCAAGTCAGATTTGAATCCCATTTTGTTAATATTCTATTTTATTATAATGATACGGGGTTTTGGGGTTTTGGGGTTTTGGGGTTTTGGGG